CTTCTATCAGTAATGTCATTATGAATATATCTAGTAAAAAGTTTCACAAGTAGTCCTAGCAGAGTCGTCGTTGGTAAGTTTCGTCGTTGGTAAGTTTAGGGTCACATCAGAGAAAACTTAATGTTGGAAATTTGATACCATGATAATATTATTAATCACTAGCTATTTCTGTAATGTATTTTTTTTATTTTGCAATTAGTTACCCAATAGCTAGGGCTAAACCTCAAATGTTGTAGGATTTCTCATCGAAATATGAATATTAATTTCATAGAAAATTAGTTACCCTACAGTTAATAATAAAATTAATTGCCTGATAGTAATTAGGATCAATTCACACTAAATTGTTTAATTTAGGATTCCCTAGTCATTTAGTCAATGGCGTGCCACAAAAGAACTCTAGGGAAGTATTGAATTAAAAGTATCTTTGGGTTTGGTAATGTTTATCTAGAATCTTATTGTAACGGCCCTATTTTGTATATATGTCATTTAAATTTATTGATTTTTATGTAGATGTGTATAAAAATACAAGTTGCGAAGTCTTAATAAAATTAGCATGCAATCCGGAACCAAATATTATAAAATGTCGTAAGTATTTAACAAAAAAATGTCGTAATTATCGTGTGACAAATTTCCTGGAATTCAAGCTTGCACTACAATAAAGGAATATATTACATCACTTAATTAGTATCAAAAAATGAAATGACACCAATTAAAAGCATTTATTAACAAATAATATAAAATTTGTTGTTTAACATCAATTATAATAAAGGATATTGTTTTTGATTTGATTAGTATCGATTAATCAAAGTTGATACAAATTTGTATTAATTTGCATCACTTTTAAAAATTTTGATGCAAAAGTATGAATTCACATTAGTTAAATAACTTATGCAACTACTAAATTTTATTAGTATCGCTTAAATAAAAGATTTTTATATCAAGATAAAACTGATGCCAATAACTTTTAATTAATTAATATTGTTTTAATTACTTTTTCACGAATGTCCCACATCGACAATCAAGAAAAGAGGCAAAGAGAAAACAGTTGTATATATAATCTACACTTATCTTCAATTAAATGGCAAACTAAAATCAAAATTCTATAATTAGAGATTGACTTAGATTTCTTTGAAAATTTTTTAGTTTGGTTTACGTGCCCTTGGTAGATTTTTGAACTTTTAAATGATTTTTAATCAAAATAATTTATAAAATGAATATTGATTTTTACATAATTGTGATACTTTAACAGTTGTATTTATGATTAATAAAATTATAACATCAGTTTAAAAACTAATCCAAATACTTAGCATCAATTGGTATAACTGAAGTAAATATTAACGTCATTTATATTAGTTGATGCAAAAATAAACATCGATTATTATAACTGATGAAAATATTTGCATTGGTCTTTTTAACTGATGTTAAATATTTGCATCACCATTTTTAGAATCACTTAAAAAAATGATGTAAATATCTTTTGCATTATTTATAACTGATTTAAACAAAAAAAATAAATGATGCTACATAACTTTTTTTGTAGTGTTGATACAATCCAAAATTAATTGTAAGGAATTTTCGGTGGTAGATGGCTTAGTTTGAATCGTTTGATAAATGTTTTCTTAACGTATCAATACGACACAATTTAAAGTTTTTTTTTGGAATTACATTGATTTTATAATTATTGACACGTGCTCATGATTTGTATTTTGCAAACTATATATATACAAAAGTATATTAATACTGAATTTTTTTTTTACATATATTAAGATTAATTTTTTTAACCCGATGTTACCGTTTTAGAGCCTGATTTACCAGTAGGAATAAATACGTACTACAATTTACTACTTTGGTAGTCAGAATTTTCTCAAAATTGGATAATTTCTCAAAATTTAACGTCAATATTTAAATAAAGAAATATTTTATAATTTTTCTTATATATTTTTCAGAAACTGTAGAACAGAGGTCTGACACAAGTATAGGGATCATGTGCCAGCAAGAGAAGTACTTCACTGTACACAGATTGGATTCATAGGTTTAAAGCCATTTTTGATATGTTTCTTTTAGTATTTGATCAATATTTTTCAATATGTCCTTTGAGATTTTGTAATCTAAGAAAACGACCAAACTTGAGTTTTACACACCCATTGGCCCATCACCATGCTATGCGAGATTTTTTTTTGACAAGTTATCAAATCTCTATTAACCAGAAAACTTGA